CATATTAAAGGGGTATAACCCCGATAGCAGGTTCTTGAGATAGGTTCATTAAAACTGAGATCAATGAGAGCCCAAAGAAATCAAGTTTAAGATCTTATAAAGGGTAACGATGAGTAATCAATGAACTCTTTGCTTAATTTTGCTTGTAATTTGTACGATCGATTCGGATACTGATCTTTTAGATGGCGAAGTATGCTCATCGCGAACCATTTCCTCGCTTTGCTGGATCTTACAATCCATGTGTGTCGATCACTAAAGACTGACGAAAAATTATAAGTTTCATTTAAGCGTGATTAAATTAAACAGGAAATTTCGAAGAATCGATATTGGTAGATGATGTGTGAGTTCTAGGAGAGATAACGGTATAACAGCCTTTATTATGCTGCTCATGATATAATTTTGATTTATCTGGTGATCAAGTAAATAAGATAACCGAACCGGGTGCTGATTGGGCACAGGAGGATCAGCGATAAGTCATGCTCAAGCTATATTAGATTTGTAGGATTTCATTGAGTGCATGTGATACACCACTTTTATCCTGCCTCTGGTTGATAAGTGCAACTTCGTGCATCGTTTATCGCCTCGACACGAGCTAATTTCGAAATTGATATCGGAGGTAATGCTAAAACAAGGGAAAGGAAAACTAATATTTCAAGTGCCTTGCATCATTATAATTCAGCCCGTCATGTCGCGTTGTCTCTGCGTTCTACTTTGGTACTGTAGCACATTGCTGGCATCTTTAGCGACATGGTAGGCATGTCAATCATTTATTTTTTTATTTCAAATGGCTGGCGTTTTGATAGTTATTATTTGCCCTTTAGCCGACTTTGGGATCACAGAGATGAGGAACATCAAAATAAGAAAAATTCAAGAGGGGGAACATAAGAGTGAATCGCAGGTGTACAAGAGACAGACAGACACAAAGGCAGAGCAATGGTAAGCTGAGTACTGGGAAAGTAGTCGAGTACGGTTTACAGTGGGGTCATGGTAGTTTGAAGTCAGAAGTCAACTGTCAGTGGGGTCATGGTAGTTTGAAGTCAGAAGTCAACTGCTCGCTTATAGAATTTTTTGCCGTAGGAGTACACGTTGCCCAGGGTGCACCACGTAGAAGTGAGTCTATCACACACCTCAGCTTGTTAATCATTGAATAAAGAAAATTATGAGCTAATAGCCAGCTACGAGGAGAATGATTTATTAAAATGTTTGGATTAGTTAATGGTTGACAAGTGAGAGCTTTGAATTTACAATTATTTAAATCTGCAATTTTTTAATTGGGATTGATTAAAAAACTATTTACAATAAGCGGTTTCGGTATTGACTCATATGATAATATTTTTTATAGACAAAAAAATTTCATTACAATAATCGGATTTGATAAAAACTTGGGGTTAATAATTGCTAGGAAAGGTACGGGAGTATAAAATCAATGTATTTATACTGTGTTCTTGCTGATGGCATAATTTCTACCATAGATTTCGGGCATTAGCTAAAGTCTTTTGATTAGAATTAGTCCATGGCAACTTGGAATATGTACTTATTCGCCTGTGGAAAGATCAAGGGGAAGCCAAATGATAAACCGAAAACGAATCTGCTTCAGTGGTAATAGCATCATATATGTGTGTCTTAAAGATACAGATCTCCATTTAAATGAAGCTGGAGGAAAGGAGACAAAAGTCACTGCTCTATGCCAGAATAAAATTAAAACATCTAATTTTCATTGAAAATTCAACCGAAACACTTCGGAATAACTGAGTCGATTTCGAAAATTTTCATCCTTAATACTGAAGCAACAGTGTAGACCATTGCTAGGAGATTTCATTGATTAACTACCTAAAACTTGGAAGATATGTTGCTTTGTGATCTTTGAGTGGTAATCACATTTGTGCGCTTTTTTTAAGGACCCATTCAATTCAAAAGCTTATGTGTCAACTTTAATTATTGCTGGAGAAATTTATATCCCTTGGCTTTACGTTACTACAGTCCATACAACTAATTAATTTAGGTCATAAGGTCAAAAACTAATTAATATCATTACGACGAATGCGAATTAACTAGGCATATTTATAAAATTTTAATGGGGTGCACGATAGACCTACCTCCGCGTGGTGCACCCTGGAAAACGTATCTTCAGAGGGCAAAAAAGTCTATCACTCGGCATTTCATTTGACTTCGATTTATTATGATTCGCTTGAAGCAAGGCTATAAGAGAAATCGCTCTCGTCAGGGTGAAACACAACGACTACAGATCCTAGAAGTGGAATGCTGGAGGCAAGTCACAGGACCAAAAGATCCAAGTACAAAAAATCCTACAAACCTATGATGTAGACATTTTCACAATTATGGAATCAGGAATGTCGCCGGACCAAAAGATCCAAGTACAAAAAATCCTACAAACCTATGATGTAGACATTTTCACAATTATGGAAGCAAATATTTCGGATCACAAACTGAAGAACTACCAATTTGCAAACATTTCGGATGACAAACTGAAGTACTACCAATTCATATCATTTCGGATGACAAACTGAAGTATTACCAATTCCCAGGTTACCCCCTCTACAATCTACCTAAATACCGGCAAGTTGCAAGTGGAATTCAGACTGGAGTAATAAAGATGGACTCACCTCACACTACGACCTAATCAAGAGTATGGGCTCGACGCAAGACAAATGGACACCTCACACTACGATCTAATCAAGAGTATGGGCTAGACATCCTCACACTACGACCTAACTGGAGTAAAAGATGGCCTCACCTCACATTACGATCTAATCAAGAGTATGGGCTCGACACAAGACATATGCGAAATAATCCGATTAAATGTTTGCAAATATCAAGATATATGCGGTCTATAAACCACCCCAGAATAGTCCCAACTTTGACTTTCTAAACATCTCACACAAAACTGTCGTATAAGGAGACTTCAACGCACATTCCACCAGATGGGGCTACAAGGATACAAACATAGCTGGAAAGAAAATTGAAGACATGCTAAACAGCAACCCTCTGGATCTTATTTACAGCAATGAGGATTCTGCTACATATCTGCACTACAATGAAACCAGAACAACTCCTGACTTACTCCTGGCTTCAAACGACATCAGCGAGCAGACACGTCGCAAAATAATTGACGATCCTGGTTCTGCTCATAAACCAGTCATTGCTAGCATTAATATCGGCAGCAAAAGCATCACAACGAAAGGGCCAAAGTGGCAAAGATTGGTATTAAGCATAAAATGCTAAACTGGATAAAGGTATTCATTGGACAATGTCTTCATCAATGACATAACCGAATTGGTACAGACAGTCACGGGCATCAAGTGCTTACTTAACGCAGATGATCTGGTACTATGGTCCCATGCTTTATGCAGATGATCTGGTACTATGGTATTCCGCCCCTGAGAAAAACGCTCAGGAGAGGACAGAAAGTGCCCTAAATTGGAAAAATCGCTAAGGAGAGGACAGAAAGTGCTCTTAATAGTGCACTTATTTAGATCTTGTTCTATGGTATTCCACCCCTAAGAAAAACGCTTGGAAAGTGCCCTAAATTGTGCACTTAAATTACTAGCAAACTTGAAGTGCCCTAAATTGTGCACTTAAACTACTAACAAACTGGTGTGACAACGATGGAACGGATATCAACACCGCAAAAACTGCATTTTAA